CTTTCCACTCACTCCTGTGAGTTACTTAACCGTGCTTGGCGTGGAAGCCAGTCTGACATTGACTCTCTGCGCTCTGTTTATGGAGAGGCAGAGCTACCAACACAGAACCCCCTTGAACAGCACCACTCAAATGCCTGCGCTGTATTTACAAGCACCGCACAGCTAAGTACTTAATAAACCGGCCCTTCAAAGGAGCTGCCAACCCGGCCGGGCATCAGCACCCCAGTCATCATCAACCACATTTTAGCGGGACTGCGTTTTCACACCAAATGTGTTCATGGATGTCGTTCAAGGTGACCGGACCGTGTTTTCCCGAGCATGTTGATAATGCCTTGTGGGCATCTTTTCTAATTACAAGAAAGAAGGGTTCACACACCCCGACAAAGGATTTTGGTTCAGGAGAGTAAATTTTTAATACAACTGCAGTTGGAACACTTACTTGGTATCAACGGTTAATCAGCAGGAAAGCTAAGCTGGAAACCTAATGTCCAAGAAAGAGAGCGCAGAGTGACTGAGAGTGAAGGCTCCACAGGCAGGCCACTGAGGCCCAAACCTGGCCTGCACCACGTATTGCCATAGTTACTGAAGCTCTTAAAGCCTTGGTCTCTCCATCTGCAAAATGGGAGTACCAGTTAATGCTTGGAGATCCTAGGGTCACTGTGAACCACAAAGCAGCGAGCCATAGTGCCAGCCCGTGGACACCACTTAAAACTGTTAGTTAACTGGTAAGCTCAGCATCACCAAACCAGGTGTATTCGTTTTCAGTGGCCACTGTAGCTCGATGGCTTAAAACCACAGACATGTATGGTCTCAAGTTCTGAAGACCAGAGTTCAAAATCAAGGTGCTGGCAGGGCCAGGCTCCCTGTGAAGACCCTAGAGAAGTGTCCTTCCTTGCCTCTTCCAGGCATTCTCTGGCTTGTGGCTGCATCATTCCCATGTCTGCTTTCATCTTTGCCTGGCCTTTGTGTCCGTGTCATCCCCTCTTCTGTCTCTTCTAAGGACACCCGTGGTTGGATTTAGGCCCCACCCAGATAAACCAGAAGAATCTCACTTCATCTCACTCAATCGCCTCTGTAGATTGTTTTTCCAAATAAGGTCACATTCACAGTTCCACGGGTCAGAACACAGGCACACCTTTTGGGGGACCACCATCCTAGCAATTATACCAAGGTAGAAAGGAGAGGAGGCAGCAGAGGAGTCTAGAAATAACTTGCCTGGGGTGCCTGGGTGGTTCAGTCGTTGGGCGTCTGTTTTCAGCTTGGGTCGTGATCCGAGGGTCCTGGGATCGAGCCCCGAATCGGGCTCCCCGCTCGGCCGGGAGCCTGCTTCTCCCTCTCCCACTCCCCCTGCTTGTGTTCCCTCTCAATGTGTCTCTCTCTGTCAAATAAATAAATAAAATCTTTAAAAAAGAAAAGAAAGAAAGAAAGAAAGAACCTTCCTATGTCCCCCACGCCAGAACAGATATTATGGGCAGGTAGGTATGGGCTCAGTGGCTCATGCTAAATGCCTCGATCACCTCTTCTGGCTCCCAGCACTTCACCCCACCATTGCCGGAACTCACTATCATGGTACTTTTATTTCCCAGGCAGGAAAATGTATGATTTTTTTTTTTTTCTTAAATGAGATCAGATATTTCTTAACATTTTCTAGAGCATCTATGCAGATGGGGCCAGAGGGCCAGCAGAGCTCAATAGGGGAAAAAAACAGGCTCCGCCCTCTGTCACCGGAGCAAAGCAGACCGTAGACAGGAGGCCCCGGGTGCCTTCTGCCCTAGCCCCCCACAGCTCATGACATTGTGCAGGGTCGTAAGCAGGGGCACAGAAGATGGCAGGAACCTTCTGTGCCGGTTGGGATGGATTCAAGAATTTGACTTCCCCAGAGCCAGGCATATCACTGTCGTATTTCGACAAGCTGCCTTTTTAAAAATGGCTTTACAGCAAGGCACTGTTGACAGGACACCCATTTGGAAAGGCTGGTGATTCACTTTGCATACCTCATAATCCCAAATTTACAAATCACCCGAAGATAGCCTTTCAAATTTGGATATTGGAAAAAGAAACTTTGACTATGGCCATGAAGTCCGTGTCAAAGTTTACCAAAAGTTGGTACCAAGGGAGGAACAGACTTCATGTGCTGGTAGGAGCGCAAGGTAGGAATGCTTTCTCATAAGGGGTGGTTCCCCAAACCGACTTGGTTTTACTCATTTGCATTATTTTTCCTCACAGCAGGGAACGGAAATGCAGGCCCCCTGTAATTCAGTTATTTTAGGGCTCTGTAAAAGTCCACATGTATGATTTAAATAATGCTGAGGAACTGTGGTGACTTCTGCCTTTCCTTTATTTCTCTCTGGCCCTCGGGGCACCACTGCCAGACCTTTGGGGGAAAGTGTACAGAGGCAGAGGGCTTCTCAGAAGGCCACCTCCGTGCATATTTGTCTTGTATCTTTGCATTTTATGTTCAAAGCTTTAGCCCCACAGCAGCTTTCTTATTATTGAACAATGGCCTTCAAAGCAGTAAAACAGCCCAATTGTTATGGAGATTAAAGGTACAGATTGCAAAACGCCTGTAAATAAAATCTTCACTGACAAACCCAGTTTCTTTCCATAGACCTTTCTTCCATAATCTCTTTCTGGCAGAACATTTTATGTTTTGATACCAGAGATTCAGTTACCAACCACAGTAAATAAAACAAAATAATTTTTAAAAATAGTACGGAACTCACCCTAAAAACAAACATTGGCCAATCATGTTTATTTTCTGTTTCTTTGTGCACACCTGAGGATTGACAGGGGGGAGAAAGGGAGGTAGTACTTCTTATCCAGTTGATTTTTAATTGTGGAGCTACGGACAGTCTTCAGATTGAGGTATTAGCCAGTTCTGCCGTCCTACGTGGCATGGAATATTATATTTATGTTTAAAAGAAATCAGCAGTTTCGAGACCAAACGGTCTCATGACACCAAGTCCCTGAATGAGCCGTGAGTACCACAGGTTGGGCAGAAAAGACAGTCATTTCCTCCAGACACAGGCTCAAGTGCCACAGTCCTGGGCACCATCATTATTCACGACGCCTTAGGGTCATATTTAGGATCTAGAACATTCCAAATATCTGTTTCAAGATTTTGAAAAACATCTTCCAATTGTGATCCACAGCAAGAGTTTACTACTCCTTTTGTGAAGGTGATTCTCTGTCAGACGGAACCCCCTGTTCTTCCAGCTGGAGGGAGTGTGAGCGAGAGTGGGGAAGAGGTGGTAGAGGACTGTCCAAGGCATCTCATGTCACCAGCGACTACCGGGTGGCCACGAACCCTGAGCTTTAAAACGCACACCGCGAACAGAGTTCTCGTGGCCGCACACCGTCTTGGTTCTTCCGGCTGTCATCGCTGAGTCTACACCTCTGTACGTCAGCGTGAGCAGTGTGGCTTGCTAGGTCTGGGCCACTGTAGTGATGAGCTCGGTTCTGCTGGGAGGACGGGGAGAGGAGGCATTGTGATCCTTCAGCTCTGGGGTTTGGGCGTGGCTGCCGGTGTGTCTAAAGGCGGAGCATCCCTAGGGAAGGCCGGTGAGTTGGCACCACCCTGGGTGTAAGCAGCTCACCCATCCAGGACAGTTAAGTCTCCCAGATCTGAAACTTGCTGATTCCCGCAGAGGATGTCTCTTTACGTACAGGCTTTATTTGTTCAATCTGAGTCATTCCAAGGCCAGATCCAAGACCCAGACAGCTTAGGCTGTGCCAATTCTTCCATCTTTGGGAGAGTTACCAATACACACTTACTGGCAGGAGTATGGCGGGTAAAAGGACATCTCAAGGTAAAAAGGGAGGAGGAAATAATCTGGCCAGCGACTGCGCTTTTTGGAGTCGCAGGTCAGGAAGCGAACATGGTGGTTTTATTAAGTCTCCTGGGGTTACTGCGCTGTGTGGCCACTCGCACTCCATTAGTGCATCTCTCTGCAAGATCAGATGGCAAATTACATGATAAAGTTATTAAAATATCTGTAAAAGTCAGCACAAGCTCAAGGGCTCGACTTGGCATTTCTGCCCATTAAGTGGTTTATTTAGATCGCTTCTCTCGGGGTCTGTTAATCTTCATCTGTACAGTGTTGTAAATTGCTGGCTATGTAGACCTGTCATTGCCTGAGTTTTCAGCCGTGCTGCTCTCGCTGGTCCAAGAGGGCTGGTATCGCAGGGGTGAAAGCATGAGTGTTTGAAACGTGCAGTTATCCCCGCCACCCCCCCGGCCCGCCACCCCCTGCCTGGGTTTTGAACCTGCAGCGTATGTTTGTGATGGTGTCTATAGAACAAAGTAGTTAGAGCTCACAGTTATAGAGACGACTGATGTTGCTGGTTCCTTTCATCCCCACCGCCTGCCACCCCCATGAGGTGCACGACCTCGTCCTGCGGGTCCTGTTGGCTGCGCCTGCGCGGGCGCGGAGCCGCCCAAGTGACCAGGTCCATGGTTTCCTTTACCGCCGAGCCAGGTCCCCCCATCTCATATAAGCAATTAGAGACGTGGTCTTAAACACTAACATTCTGTAATTCTCGACGCTGCAGCTCCTGGAGATTAACGGTCGCTCCTCACATTCTCAGGGAAGCCAGTAGGGATGTCCGAGAACACCTCTGCTCTATTGCCTATGATTAAAAGGCCACCCCCCCCCTTTTTTTTTTTTTGGTAATATTTTTGCTATGGGATCGGGCTTTCTGAGGCACCATATGTTGCTAAATGAGAGAAGTCATTGCCCAGACGTGGATCTGTTTAATTTAATATGATTTTCCACAAATTACAAAGCATGACTTTAAAATTGAATTTGTGCAAAATTACAGATGGCCAATTCAGGTGGAAGGGAGAGAAAATCTTGTTACTCTTATTCCAGAATCTCTTCCCGAATTCCTCATTTGATTCTTTCACGCCTTGGGGGAGGGGGCAAGTGGGGGGGGAGGGGGGATACATTAGAGGCTCTGTAAGGAATTTCTCTTATTTTTCAAACTTTCTCCCTGGTCAGTCATGGCTCCCTCAGAGGGAGACACAGCGGCCTGGACATGTCAAGACAGAACGCCAGTTCTTCTGTCCATCCATCCCATCAGTCAGGATACACCTGTTCCTCCCACCTTATCATCAGAAGGGGACTCGGGAAAAACATGGGAGCCCCCAGAATGCACTTTCTGAGGAAAGCAGAATCTGGATCTATCAATTAACACTAAAATCGATATGGTGGGTAATGGGTATGGACTTTGGAATTCACATCCCAGGTTGGCCGCTCGGGTAGTTATGTGACTTTGGGAAAATCACCGAAATGCTTTGCGCCACTGCTCCCCATCTGTAAAATGGGCATGGTAAGAATAGGACCTGACTCACTGGAGAGTGGTGAGCGTAAGTGAGTTCCTACGTGTATGCGCGGGATGCCTGGCATGCAGTGAGCATCGCATGGGTTTTTTCCTCTTACCTCAGGAGCCTGCTGCGAGGATGGAGGTATATTCTCAAGTATTTAGCATAGAGCCTGGTACACTTCACCCGCTAAATAAATGGTCAGTGTTACTCGTTTTACTCTTACTGTTTGTTTGTACCCGCGTGGGGGACAGTGGAGTCTCACCAGGGTGTTATAATCCGTCCATCCGTCCTGTCAGATGAGCCGCACCTCGTTTTGCAGGAGAACAGTCACCCTGCGGTGGTTTTAGTAGTGTTTTCAGTCAAGTTCCGCTTCCTTGGGGGAACTCCAACAGGCGAGCCCATAACCACTGCTCCGCAAGATCAAATGGGAATGGTGAACTGTTAGAGTTGAAAGGGACCTTACACATCATTGCTCAAAGCATTTTATTTTCCTCCTGAGACCCCCCAAGGCCCCGGGGAAGGACAGGGATTGGCCCAGTTGGAGGCAGACCTGAACTCCCGGTCTTGGGCCTGTCCCGCCTCTGCTTGGGAGGTGGCCACAGAATATAGTCTCTCCTGTCAATATGGAACGTACACTAGGATGTGACACTGCACTCAGCCTTCCATGGCCTTTTTCTGGAAGTACGCTGTCTCCTCAAAGAGTAGGCCCCCACGGTTGGAGTCTGTATCGTGTGCTTCTTGGTGCCTCCATTTTCAAAATGCTGAATTCCATGCTCTGGGAGGAGGGATTTTTCAAAAAGGCAAGGATAGAATACCCCTCTCAAGGCCACGCTCTGTCCCTCTCAGCCCTGCCCCCTGGGGGACAGCAAACGGCTGCAGAGAGGCTGACAGGACACTCCCTGGCCACAAGGCCCACGTGGGCAGCAGTCAGAGATGAACCCTGACCCGTCCCTTACTTGCATGAATCGGACACATTCAGAGAATGTGAATGGTCAGCCTCTTCGGCATTTTTAATGAACCATCTGCAAAAGGATTTCTTTGAACCGAGTTTCACCTTCCTGTGTGATTTTAAGTAAATACCTCCCTGGGCTGATTCCGCCCCCAGGCCCGGGCCCTGGAAGTCTGCTGGCGGCTGGGGCTGGCGGGCCAAAAGGAGGGCTGCAGGGCCAAAAGGAGGGCTGCAGACAGGTGTGCGAGTGTGGTGGGCGGGGCCGGGCAGACACAGCTGTGGGAACACAGCAAAGCTGTGGGGGGGAGCGGGGGGGTCTGGGGACTGGTGCTGAGTGATGGTCCTGCGTCCCAGTTTGGGACCCCCTGCCAACTTCTGCATTTACTCCCTGAACAGTGTGTGGCCGTGCGGACAGGGGAACTAGGGCCAGAGACAGGCGTCCCTTCGATGACCACTGCTGTGATTTCAGAGTCAGGGTCATGGACAGCAAGGCTAAAGCTACCCTGGGACCTTCATGGGCAGAAACCGAATGGCCCTCTGTCAGAGGCACCGTATCTGACATGTTTGTGGCTTCTGGGCTCTCTCCGGTGGCTAAGACCCAGTGACTCGGTTGTCACCTCTCCTACGTGAAACTTAGTGGTTAATCAAGAGAAGTGGGGACTTGAGATCCTGCACTAACTAGCGATGTGGACCTGTCCTCCGGTCTTCACCTCCCACAGTGCACGGTCTTGACGTGTCTTGACCACAGCCCCAGGGGCTTGAGTTCCAGGCCTCGCAGGGCTCTCGAGGCTGGCCTCAGTGGTCTGAGGAGCTCAAGTTTCTAAATAACAGACCACAGGAGGGGGCAATGAAGGAAATTCTGTGAAATGGCCTTTTCTGGCTCAGAGGAACAGATCCACTCAGAAACACAGCATCCAGCAGTCTTGCGAACTTTCTCCCAAGCGTCTTGATTTCCCCTGATTTGGGCAGTTTTTACAGAGACTCTGAACCTCTAACCATGGAGATGAGTAAATCCTAGAAAGCTGGGCTAGAATGAGATGGCCAGCCCCCTCATTAGATCGAGGAGACACTGGGAGCCCAGAGAGGTTAAGTGACTTGTCGAAGATCACACAGCCAGCTCCTATACGCACGTGCTTAGCTCTCCTGCCCGTCCTCCCCAGCCTGAACACATTCCTAGTATTTGGATACGGCAAAGTGAACCTTCCCAAGCAGTCCCTGCAAAACAGCACTTCTGTGAAAGAGGGGCTGTTGGAACAAGATAGGGCAAACACCAGTGTGCCCATGCACTGCTCCACCCAGTTTCTCATCTTTATATTACCTCCCCCCCAAAAAAGGTCTCAAATAACCCAAACAGGCAGGGTCTGATCTGCAGACGGTGTGCAGGCATCCGCCCAAGAAGCTGCCGGTCGGCTGGTCCATCCTCCACTGATTTATGTTGTGTGTGTTAAGCCTTAAATTGTTGAGACTCTGGCTGGCTGCAGTGGTATTACTGGAGGGCTGGTGCATGTTTTCAGCTCACGGAGCTGGCTCTGGCACCGGAGGTGTTGGCCTCAGATCAAGTCCAATCTCACACCTGTCTGAGACAATGAGGGCCTTGTTAGACACATCTCCAGTCAGGGCGGCTCAGGCTGCTTATTTTTCACGTTCAGAACAGGGGGCGGGGGGATCTGGGGGCCAGGCAGAAGCCAAGGCGAGACTGGGAAATGCTGGGGTCAGCTGCCTCCCTTGCCCTCTCCTTCTCCCCCTTCCCTGTCCGTCCCCCCCCCCATTTTATAAACTTTTCCTTATTTTTGGAAATTAAAAACAAACAAACAATACCAACAGTAGCCCTCTTATGAAGGAGAATTTCCCACTGCCAAACAAGAAGCTCGGGGCCTGGTGGAGAATAAGTCCACAGTTACCAAGGGGGTTGAGCCACAGAGTGAAGAGTCAGAGGGGCGTGGGGGGGAGGGGGTAGCCCCCACACCAGTGCCGAAATCCGAGCTTTTTTCCACACCAGTGGGGTCTGTGCAAGAAAGGTTTTCTCTTCTTGTTCTTCCCCTTCCATTGCTGACATTTGAGTGCCTGGGGCAGTAAGCAGAGGGGAATGTTTCCCCAGCTCGGAGTTACTCGCTGATGAACCAGCAAACTGTTCTGCCCCGCTCTGTCCCTCCAGTCCCTTGTAACACAGGGCCCGCCTGCGCTTACGTCTGCAGACCCTTTGCAGATCCAGCTCTTCAGAGACCCCGACCCGAGGCAGCCACTGGGCAGGACCTCTTCTGGGTCCAGGTCAGCAGCTCTCAAGGCTGACGGCTGTGAAGGGTCATTACTCAGTCAAAGCCACCCTGAAATGACTAGCATTGCATGGGACCACACGATGTGCAAGCCCTTGGGATAAAAATCAAGCAAGAGCTTCCCGGAGTTATGAAAGCCACCCTTTTCTGCCGGACCCCACAGTAGGCCCCTCGCTAGCACCTAGTGACTCCTCCCGAGTGGACCTGTCACGTCTCGGAGGCTTGTAACAAATCTCTCCGCTTCCTTCTTGGTAAGCGAGGCTCTCACCTGAGCCGGGACGCACGTAGGTACCACGGTCACTCCATTCTGCTTGTCCTCCAACGACAAACAGGTAGTCCCCATCCTTTCAGCTGCAAAAACCCGGCTTAAGCGCTAAGTCCCATTGCTGACTCATAGCTTCAGCCTCAGAGACACAGCGGGGAAAATGTGCAGGCTGCTTATTTTATCTGAGGCCTGGGACTTCAGAGCAAATCACTTTGAACTCCACTGCCCTGCTTTCTCTCTGCGCACATCAGCCGGCTTCCCCCAGGACACCTTTTCCGAGGCAGCCAGCAGAGTGAGGCGTGCGTGGGAAGCAGCAAGGAGGGATAGAAAACATGGGGACTTCCGGCTCCCTCCTTCCCCGGGGTTTGAACCCCTTCCATGTGACCTTGAGTGACAACTCAGGGGAAGAGCCTGAGCCGTGGGAGGGGGCATCGCTGCTAAGCCCGTGGCCTTCTGGGAGGCCAGGGGTGGCCCTGCGAAGCCTCCTCTTTGAGGCCACTCCGTCTGACCTCATGGCCTGCGGAGGATGGTGGCAGAGGAAGCAGATGTGGCCCCCTCAAGCCATCTGGTGGCCAAGGAGGACCGGATACAGAAGCCAAACCTGCTCCTACTGAGATCACTTTAAGCACAGGCTTCTCATCGACTTCTCTGGTCCTGCCTCGGCCTGTCTCTGGGCCATGAGGTTTCCATCCCTCTCCTGAGCCATCCAGGTTCCGAAATGACCAAGTGGAAGCAGACAAGGGGTGGGGGTGGGGGGAGGCTGGAGCACTGAGGTTCCTGTGAGCTGCTGCCTTACCTGCCTCCTCCTCTGACCTCTAAACACCCACCCCTGCCTCCCCCTGACCCTGCCATTCTTCAGGGCACCTCCCTGCCCCCTCTCTTTCCCCTCCAGTGATCGAGCTGGTCCGTCTTCTCTCCTCTGGAGCCCATCCGTTGGGGCCTGAGACTCCACCATCTCCCCATGCCATGCCCCATTGTTACCCGATGGGGTGCACGTTGCTGATGCCCTGACTGTCCTGGGCTCCTGGGAACAACGACCCAAGATTTCCCTCTGTGCTTTAAGATCATCCAGACCTAGAAACCGACTGATGAGATGTTTTCCAAGCATCCCCGAGCCCTGAGCACCTGCACCCTCTCCTCCCCATCTCCAGTCATAGTTCCGAGAGCAACAGGCTCGCCTCGAAGGCTCAGGCAGGCAGGAACTGTCTCTCCTACTTCTCCAGACCCCCACGACCCTAGCCCAGATCTCCAGGGTAAGGGGTGAGTGGGAGTCATTGAGGAAGATTTTCCCTGCTCTCGGGACAGCAGGTCAAAACTGGTGATTGACACGTTTTCACCTCAATTCCAAAATTCTCCACCCGGAATGAGTTCCTTCCTCCCAAGGCACCAATTGTAGGGCAGAGCCTTGCATCTTGGTTCTGCGACTGACCCTTCTTCCTCCTCCCAGAGCCCAGCTGAGAGCCTGGGGGAGGGAGCCTCAGTGGCCCCACCAGGTGACAACATACCTGCCCCTTTCCCTTCACTTCTGTGACGAGGAAGAAGATGGGAAGTGTCTCTGCTTCTTGAGCTTCTGACCCCATTACCTTCTACAGCCTTCTGTTTTTTAAAGCTACCCTTTTCTTTTGCTGCCCCCGCCACCCCCCAGGCCAGACCCTCTTGTGTCACTGCCTTTCCTTGCCATCTGCCTTGCTCCTCAGACAGCTCACCTCAGACTGTCTTCCAAATACCTGAACCTGGTTTTACGAATTTAATTAGAGATTTGGACCCCAATGTATGAATAGGTTGTTTACCCACTACTTCCTTGGAACCCCATCCTCCCACCTCACTGCTGCCTCCCAGACACCTGCGCTCTGCCCCCTCCCCCCATGTTCAGGTGTGTCCCTGTGTCGCCTCCTTCCCTAAAAGCATTCCTGATTCTTCCTGGTTACGGCACTTTTCAAATCTATCCTTCCATCCATCCACTCTTGACCTTGGTGGCCCCCCTCCCTGCCCACCTGTAACCAAGCCTCTTTCCCCAACGGACCCGTTGCCCGGCCTTGGGACCCCAGGCCCCCCAGCACCGAAACATTTCACCGCCACCCCCGCGATGTCTTCACCATGTGTCTAAGACAGACAACAAAAGCCAAGTCACCCCCTGCTCATCCCCTGTTGTGGTGTCGCATTATGATCTTCAGCTGGTGGATGAAGGACCATTCCAACCCACCCATGCTGGCCCGCCCGTCTGTCTGAAAAAATAGCAGAATGTGGACCATCTGGGGGGGGGGCGGGGGAGGCCATTTGTCACCCTCTTTGTCAACCCTCCCTTTCGCTTTCTTCACCTCCTCTTCCCTCAGTTCCTCAGAAGCCTCTTTTGTTCCAGGCCAGGGGAAAGTACTTCGGACGTGTTGTTGAGACTGGTTTGCTGTTTTGTTCAAAGACAGGAAGTTCCTGTTTATTGGAAAGGTTGTTCATTTCCAAAGACGTTCCATAGCCAAGCAGCTATAGGATGATTTCTCACTGCCTTTTCTCGGGGTGATACACAATACAAAAAAATAATAATAATCATAATAAACCAATGAGAGCAAGAGAGTCAGTGAACACAAAAGGAGATGTTATAATAGGTTTTTGTTGGTACTTGCATTTTCTTGTTGAAAAGCAGCAAAGACCCTGAGGTACAGAGGTGTGGACAGAAGGCTGATGTTATCTGGCCCCTAGAAATCCTGCCTGGAGTCCAGTGGCAGGCAGGATCCAGAA